TTATTTGTAAGGTTCAGAAAGATGCAGGATAATCTTCAGTATTTTTTAACTGAACAGTGGTGATTCAACTAGATCAGCTTCCACAAAACAGGTATTTCAGTCTTCTGGTTGGCTCCTAGTTTATATATAATTGAGCTAAGATTTCAATGTCGCTGTGGCAAAAATGAAGTTCAAAACTGCTTTGTGTTCCAGGCGTTTAAAAGGCTCCCATGATAACTAAAGAGAAATGTTTGCTATGGGATAGCCAAGTGTTAAACTGAGGTAAGATTTTCAGGGTAGCCACCAGAGAATCACTGTTCTACTTCATTTAAATGCTTAGAAATTCTGCTCTTCTCCAAAAGACTGCAGAGCAGCTTACAGAGGGTTTACACGTGAGCAGTCTGTAGGGCTAGAACTTCAGCTGCAGAATCACATCATGTGCCTTCAGGCTGTTCAAAGAGAGGTGGTTCGTACCTGCTAAGACTTCCATCTTCACTTTCCAGTCATCAGCTTTCTTCTGAATATGCTGAGAATGGAAGAAGTTTGAGGTTTTTAGTACTGGCACCTGACAAAAGCCAAATTTCAAACTGACAGTGTGCCTAAATCTATGTCACTTCCACCTGGCTTGTACCACCGCAAGGTTAATCCCAGTGCAACTAAAGGCAATAATCCTACACTTTTAGACCATTTTATTTGCATCATGTTAGAAAGTTAGTAAGGGTCTTCAGTTTGCTGGCTTTTCTCTCTTCGAGGCATCTGCAAAACTTACTTGGCGGGTTGACGTTTTGTGCAAGGAGTAAACAGCCGTTCTCGCCATCCGCAGAGCTGTCTTGAGAAAAGCCATGTCCATGCCTAAGAAAAGTAAAGCCTGCTTTAAGTTGAAAGTCGCTAACTGGTTAAGAGGGACCGAACTCAAAAGTTTTCAAACTGTCCAAAGTGGGACCCATTTCTGACCATACTTTTCCAAACCCTCTTGCAAGGTTAACTTCATGCTGGGTCGGATCCAGCTAGCTTTTTCATTCGACCTCACTTAATTCACCACCTTACTCCAGCCCCCAGCCCATCTGGCTTTTGCCCATGCAGGTCTCATGATCTCTGGTACAGCATTTATTGTGGGCAAAGTGGACCCCCCTTCCCTTTTTCACTACTGGAATATTCAGTTTGCTTCAACCCATGGTTTCCCCCCCTCCCCAATACAAGATGCAAGAATCTCACATCAGTGAACAATGAACAAGTTTACTCTTTGTTTATTTGTTCTGAGCCAACTGAATATTCCAGTAGTGAAAAAAGGAGGGGGGGGGTCCCCTTTGACCACAAAAAATAAATAGCGTTACTGGGCAAGAAGCTGTATTTTGTGGCCCTTTCACACATTATGCAGCAGCAAACCCCAATCTGCCGTTAGCTTCCCCAGCGCCCTCTCCTAGCTCACTATTCCTCCTCCTCCTCCCTGGCCTCACAACCTGGCTGTGAGACATTCACAACCCACAGTTTGAGAATTACTGTTTTATCCGCATGACCTTGTCAAGAAGCAATATTAGATATGCATTTGGTTGGATGGATTCAGGTGCTCAGAGTCTCTAAAGGGGAAGAATGGATTAGAAAACACATCAAAGCCAGTCTCCCTGTCCCCTGAGGTTGTTCACTGCTAGGAGCAAGGGACCCTAGCTCTGCAACAAGGATAGCTTTGTGAAGCTGTGCAAAAAACTATAGGGGGGGGGGAAGAATCACCTTTATTGTGCTTGGTTCCAAAGGGAGGATTCATAATAACTGTATCAAATGTTTTTGCCATTTCATCAGGTAAAGAACATATATTGCACTGAACCATGTCAATATTTGTGAGCTCAAACTCTTCAGCGTTTCTGTTAAATACTTCCAGGGCATCAGCATCGACATCAAAGCCTATACACAACCTGGAGAAAGAAAAAACCAGACATTACAACATCTATCTAAGGCAATATTTAGCTTTATTATTTTGCCCCCTGTTAGTAGATTTATGTACCCAGCTGATGTAAATCTGAAAGAGATGCATGAGGCTTCATACTAGGCTAAATGATATTTTGATTATTTTTTCTGTAAAAAAATATATATGTTAAGATGACCAGAAGAACTTCATGCATTAATGAATATGGAAAACAGAAGCAGCAAACACATTTATAAAGGGTTTTTTTCCTAACAAGGCTAGCCAAACTGTGGACTCTGCTCATTCAGAAATTTAGCATGTGAATTAACTATCTTCTGCTTCCAGCTTTCTCAATGAAGCATCTAAAGCCCAAGTTATCTATGCAACAGAAGAAGGTGGGAATAAGGTGAAAGAATGAACTGC